CTTGTGGACTTTCTGTCTGGATGTTCTGTCCATTGATGTAAGTGTGGTGTTAAGGTCCCCTGCTAATATTGTGTTGTTGTTAATATCTCCTTTTAGTTTGTTAATAATTGTTTTATGTACTTTGGTGGTCCTCTCTTGGGACAGAAGGGTTATGTCTTCTTGGTGGTATGTCCCTTTGATCATTATATACTGTCCCTCTTTGACTGTCATTACCTGTTTTGTCTTGAAGTCTACTTTGATATAAGTAAGGCAACACCTGCTTTCTTTTGTTTGCCATTAGCTTGGAGTATTGTCTTCTATCCCTTCACTTTAAGCCTGTGTTTTTCTTTAGAGCTGAGATGTGTTTTGTGGAGGTAGTATATTGTTGGGTCTTGTTTTTTAATCCATCCAGCCACTCTGTGTCTTTTGATTGGAGAATTCAATCTATTTACCTTTAGAGTGATTATTGATATATGAGGGCTTAATGCTGCCATTGTATTGCTCATTTTCTGGTTCTTCTCCATTTCTCTTGTTTCTTGTCCCGTGTATTTTGGACTACCAATTCAGTTTGGAGTTCTCTATGCTGGTTTTGTTAGTTTTCTCTTTATCTGTCATTTGTGTCTCTGTTCTGGTTATTTGTTTAGTGAGTACCATGAGGTTTGTATAAAACATCTGGTAGATGAGATAGTCCATTTCCTGATAGGCTCTTATTTCCTTAGAGTAAGCCGATGTCATCCTCTTCCCCTTCTAAGTTATTATTGTCAAAACTTATTCCATCTTGTGAGCTTTTGGTAAAATGAGAGGATAATATGTTTTTTTGATGTGTTCCTTTGCTTTATCTTTAATGTTATAATTAAGTGTTTGCTAATCTGTTCTTATTGAGAGCTGCAATTTTCTAATTTTTTATACCTATTTATCTCCTTGCTCAAGGTGATTGAAACCCTTCCTTTTTTTCCCCCACGTATAGGGGCCTTCTTGATCATTTATTCTGTGAGAGGGGGGATTCTCATGGCAAAGAACTCTCTTAGTTTTTGTTTATCGGGGAACATTTTTATTTCTCCCTCATATCTGAAAGATGTTTTTGCTGGATAAGAGTATTCTTGGCTGAAAGTTTTTGTCTTTCAGAATTTTGAATATATCATTCCACTCTCTCCTAGCTTGTAAGGTTTCTGCTGAGAAATCCACTGAAAGCCTGATGGGGTTCTCTTGAAAGTTATTTTCTTCTGCCTTGCTGCCCTTAGTATTTTTTGTTTGTCATAGACTTTTGCCAGCTTTTCTACTATATGCCTTGGAGAAGGTCTTTTTACATTGATATAATTAGGAGATCTGTTATCTTCTTTCACTTTTATTTCCAGCTACCTTCCCAGGTTTGGGAAGTTCTCAGCTATTATTTCTTTGAACAAGCTCTCTGCTCCTTTCTCCTTCTCTTCTCCCTCTGGAATACCTATAATCCTTATGTTGCATTTCCTAATTGAGTCAGATATTTCTTGGAGAATTTCACCATGTCTTTTTAGTCTTAGTTCTCTCTCCTCCTCCATCTGAAGCATTTCTGTATTTCTGTCTTCCAGACTGCTCATTCTCTCCTCCATAATATCAGCTCTGTTATTCAGAGAGTCCAGATTTTTCTTTATCTTATTGATTGTATTTTTCATCTCTAACATTTCTGATTGGTTTTCCTTCATAGTTTTAATCTCTTGTGAAGAAGTTCCTGATTTCATTGTGAAGAAGTTCCTGATTTCCTTGAACTGTCTTATCTGTATATTCTGGTAACCTGTTGAGATTTTTTATGATAGCTATTTTGAATTGTCTGTCATTTAGATTATAAATTTCTCTGCCTTCAGGATTGATTTCTGGGTGCTTGTCATTTTTCTTCTAGTCTGGAGGATTCATATATTTTTTCATACTGTTTGATGGTGTAATTTATGTGTCCACATCATTATAGTATCTGGTTGCAGCTGCCGCCTGCCACCACTGGTTGGGGGTCTAGAGGTGTGTATGCTGAGCCCACCGTCATCCCGGCTTGCTCACTCACAGCTGCTGCTTTTCTATCGTATGCATGCATGCTCTGGCCAACTGACTGAGCTGGAGTCCTGGGTGGGAGAAGGGGCACTTTTCTTTCACCTGTGCTATCCTGGGGGTGTTCTTGCTTTGCCCTTGCTATCTCCTCTTCTGGGGTGCTTGCTTGATGAAGACACCCCCACAATAGCTTAGCCATCTCTGTGTAGTGTTCCTGTGGGCTGTGAGGGAACTTGGAGAACAGAGGTGTTCCTGCAGAGGGCCGCCCCTCCCCTCTCCTCTCAGAACTGCCCTTGGTCCCACCCCCAGGGTCTCCTCTGTTCAGAGGGTGGTGGGGGAGATCCTCTTACCTCTTTCTACTTCCCCAGTGGGTCCAGCACCTCTGCCCTCAGACATATGACTGTGTGGGTCTCTCAGACATCTTTTGTGTTGTGTGAATTCCCTCTGTTGGTATATGAATGTCCTTTTCATTGTATCTTAGTAGGGAGAGTCTAAGGGAAGAGCTTGCTCCACCATGATGCTGATGTCACTCAAAGAATCATAGTATTTTTCAAGTCTGCTTTGAGGTGTAATTTATAGACCATAAAATGCACAGAATTTAAGTATCAAATTTGATGAGTTTAAGACCAAGCCAACATTTATGTAACTATTGCCCTAATCAAAAAATAGAAAATTTCTATCACCTGGGAAAGTTCCCTTTGTGCCCGTTTGTAGTCAGTCCTCCTAAAGACAGCCATTGATCTAATTTCTGTCGTCATAGCCTGCTCTAGAACTTTGTAGAAATGAAATCATACAGTGTATATGCTTTAGTGCCTGACATCATTTGATCAACATGTTTTCGATATTTCTGTTTGTTGTTGTATCAATAGTTCATTGTTATTGTAGAATGGCATTCCATTGTGTGCATATACCACAATTTGTTTATCACTTAACCTGTTGGGGAAGTTTGGGTTGTTTCCAGCTTTTGGCTGTCAAAAATAAGTGTTCTATGAACACTTTTTTACAAGTGTTTTTGTGGATATATCTTTCACTTCTTTCAAGAGGAATGGCTCAGCCATGTGGTAAATCTATGTTTAACTTTAAAGGAAACTGCCAAATTGTTTTCCAAGTGATTATACCATTTCATACTCCCACCAGAAATGTGAATTCCAGTTACTGCACATCTTTACCAACACTTGGTATAGTCAGTCTTTTTAATTTTAGCCATTCTAGTGAGTGTGTATGGTATTCCATTTGAGTTTAGTTTTCATTTCCCTGGATAACCAATGATGTTGAGCATACTTTTGTATGCTGTTTGGCCATTCGTATGTCCCCTTTTTTGAAGTGTGTGACCCTTTTCCCTATTTTTCAATTGAGTTGTTATACTTTTGGTGTTGATTTATCGGAATTCTTTATACCTTCTTGGTACAAGTCCTTTGTCAGATGTATGTACTAAGAATATTTTCAGTTTGTATATGGCTTCCCTTTTCATTTCCTTTTTAATTTTTTAATTATTTTTTTAATTATGGTAAAATATACATAACATTTACGATTTTAACTATTTTTCTTCACACATCATTTTACTGATTTCGTTTACTTGTCTGTGTTTCCTTTTAGCTCATTGAGCATTTTTAAGACAGCCATTTTAAATTCCTTGTCATTTAATTCAAAGATGTTTGTGTTTTTAGGGTCAGTTTCTGGAGATCACTTTAACCATATTTAGGTATACGGTTCAGTGACATTAACAAACTCAGATTCCTTTGCAAACATTACTCTGACATTCCATGTGTACTTAAGACAAATGTGTCTTTTGTTGTTGGTACACTTTCATTTTCTTAATGGTGTCTTTTGGTGAGTAGATGTTTTCATTTTGATTAAGACCAATTATTAATTTTTCTTTCTGTGGCTTGTGATTTTTGTGTCCTAGCTAAGAAATCTTTACCCCAAGGTTGCAAAAGTTCTCCCATATTTTCTTTTAGAAGATTTTACTTTTATTGTTTAGGTTAATGATCCATCTCTGATTTGAGTTTATTTGTGCATTTTCTATTTCTTTTTTTTTTTAAGATTTAAAAAATTTTTTCCGTTTTCTCCCCAAAGCCCATGGTACATAGTTGTATAATTTTAGTTGGGTCCTTCTAATTGTGGCATGTGGGACACCGCTTCAGCATGACCTGACGAGCAGTGCCATGTCTGCTCACAGGATCCGAACCAGTGAAGCCCTGGGTCACCAAAGCAGAGCATGTGAACTCAACCACTCAGCCGTGGGACCAGCCCCTCTATTTCTTATTAATTCATTGAACAAATATTTATTGACTACCTGGTCAGTGCTGGGCACCGTTTTAGGCACTTGGTATCCAGTTGTAAACAAAAAGAAATCAGTCATGGTGGGCCATTATATAGGCCCTGCACCTGTAAAGCCTATATTCTAGGGGAAATGACAGAAAATAAATTCATAAATAAGCAAATTTATAGAGTAGTTAGAAGGTGAGAAAGAAACATGAGGTGAGGCAACCAAATTGAGTAAGGTAACAGTTTGTAAGGTTTGCAGTTTTAAGATAGGGTGGTAAAATTATGCTTCATTGAGAATATATCATTTAAAGAATAACTTGAAGAAGGTGAGGGAGATAGCCAGCTATCTGGGGGAAGAATGTTCTGGGTAGAGAAAACAGCCATTGCAGAGGCCTTAAGGTGGGAGCATGGCTGGCATGTCCCAGTAGCAGCCAGAAGCCAGTGTAGTACAGGGTAAGAGTAGATAACATCACAGAGATAGGGAAAGGCAGATTGTTTAGAATCTTATAGGACATTGTTAAAACTGTAGCTCTTTGTGTGAGTGATATAGGAAGCCATTTAAGGGCACACTTTACTTAATACACATTTTAAAACAACATATATGTCTTTCTGAATATCAATTAGAGATTTCACATTGTTGCTTCTTTAGATTTACCAATTCATATCTGCTTAATAGGTGTGAAAGCATTTTTTTTTTGACAGGTATACTTAATATTATAATGGTTTTCTTATTTCAGAAAGATCCAGATTACCTGAAGCTGTGGTTGGACAATTTTGTTTCTAGCTATGAACAGTTCTTAGATGTTGACTTTGAAAAGCTGCCTACCAGGTATGTAGAAACACTTAATTTCTTACCCTTGGGTAAGTTTGCTAATTTTTGGCCAAAGATGTCACTGATGGCATATTACAAGGATGGCAGTTGTGTGACACACATGATACTCCTGTGTGACCCTGCTCTCATGGCAGACATTGCTAATTGATCACTCTTTCTTGCTGATACTAGACTTGGCTTCTAGAAGCCTCTTTGCTTTGGTGAGGCACTGGCAACTGGATGTCTTGCAATTTGCTTCAATTTTGACACTACACAAAGTTAGTGCCAGATCTCACAAGTTAAGGGCAAAGTCCTCCACAGGATTGCCCTCACTTCAGACACCATTTGCAAGTCTTGGGAGCCACCCACACTTCTGACCAACTGGCTATTAATTTGGGAGTTCTCACCACTCCTTCAGGTTCAATAATTTGCTAGAGTGTCTTGTAAAACTCACTGAAAATGCTATACTCATGATTATGGTTTTATTATATGGCATACATGTAGGACAGGGCCTGGAAGACTTCCAGGCTCTCTTTATGGAGTCAGGATGTGTTGCCCTCCCTGAATATCAATGTGTTCAAGTAAGGAAGCTCTTTGAGCTTTGGGTGTCCAGAGTTTTACTGGGTCTAATTACTTCATTGACCATGTGATTGAACTCAGTCTCCAGCTCCTCTCCCCTCCCAGAAAGTTGGGGGATGGGTCTGTCAGATGCGGCCAGTCCCTCTCTTGAAAGTATTTAAGGGCCCATCGTGAATCACTTCATTTGCCTAAAATTTCTTTGTTATACTACAGGGATGCAAATTGAAACTTAATTCTATTCCTGGCCTTAGAGTAGGGTCTTAGAAAACATCTTGGAGGAGGTGAAGTATTCAGAGTTTTAAAAATTAGATTTGAAAATCATAAAATGAGGGAAAAATTCAAATCTCATGGAAAAGTACAAGTGAAAGTACAAACCTTTTCTCCCATTCCTCTGCCCACCACCATTTCCCACTCTCAGAGTTCTCCCAGGCCCACTTCCCAGATAAATTTTTACTGTATTTTGAGCCATCTTGAAGACCTAGTAGTTCTTAGGTGAGAGAGGTTAGGTTGGCTGGGATAAAAAGCTGGAGAAATGAGGAGACGCTTTTAGCCGCAAAATCAACTCTATTTAGAGAGGTGTGTCGAGAGGGGCGAGAAGAAATGGGTGGTGGTTGATGATGAGAAAGAGTATCTGGAGAGTTAAAAATCTTCGAGGAGGACTGTCTGCCGTTCCGGCTGGAGGTAGGCAGTCGGAGGATAGGCGCAGGTGAGTTAGATCTGGAGAATGAAATAGGAGCCAGATCAGGAAATGCCATGCATGCTGATGGGCTTTGATATTTCTTAAGCAAGATACAAGGCTTTACTGAAAAATTTTCTGCGTAAGGGTGTCACGATCAAGTTTGTGTTTTAAGTCACTTTGGTGTGACATTGTAGAGGTTGCATTGGAAGGGGTTGAGACTGAAGGCAAGAAGCCCAGTTTAAGAGGTAATGTAATAATTCAGGGAAAAAATCATTAGAGCTTTGGAAGAAGGTATTGAATTTACAAAAGGATGTGGTTATGCTCAGAAAGCACTAGTGCTTTGTTATTTATAAATATGTTTCAGAGTACTTCCTCATTAGATTATTTGTAACAGATTTATAAAGGTTGAAAATCAGTATTAAATCTTGACCTCAAAATAAGATTACCACGGATTATTGATTTCTACTCATAAAAGAGTAAATTTTCGTAGTTTGTGCTTAGAAGTGCTTTATTTTAATAATTTATGGCTCACTTTAAGTCTTGAGCCTAAGGGTTTTATGGAGTCAGGATTTGGGCCTTTGAATGCTTGGGATTTCCTAAGATGCACTTGTTATCATCCGCACCTTGTAAATAACTCCTTTCTTGGGAGGTCATTTCTGAAAACATTTGTAGACTTATATTGCCACTATATTTAAAGTAAAATGAAGAATGAATGAAAGAGCAGTTCTTTATTGTGATTTAGTTGGTTTATTTCAAATTGTATTTCATATCTTTGTCAGAAAACTGAACCATGAATTTAGATTTTAGTAGTAGAAAACTTTAAATTTTTCACGTGAATGCTGTGTGCAAGCTGTATAAAACTAGTCTAGACACCTTAAACATAAGAAAGTCAAATTATCCTCATTTAGAGTAAACTGACTGTATAGAATTTCCAAGTTAGAGAATTCATAACAAGAATTGCTTTTACCAAAATTTAAAGCCTTGCAATTTAGGCTAGACTTCTTCCTTTGTTCGAGGGAGACAACAGTTGACAGCTGTTTACAGTAGACATTCAATACCCAAACAGAGGAGTGGGATGGATTTCTGGAGTTTGGGGAATTTCAGCAAAATGAGCTGAGAATTTTGGGTGGTAAAAGTCCTAGAGGTGGGAAAATGCTTCTAAATTCTTAAATCCTCATCACATTAGGAACATGGCCAAAAATTTCAACTTTGTCTGTACATCATGTCCTAACCAAGTCCCAGTTTTATAATGAGAATTAACAAAAAGAAAAAAATGTAGATTTCATTTTTAGAAGCTGATTTTTTTTCTGTCTAGTAAAATCAAAATCATTTTTAAATAGGGCCAGCCCTGGTGGCCTAATGGTTAAGGTTTGGTGCACTTTGCTTTGGCAGCCTGGGTTCAGTTCCTGGGCGCAGAACCACACCACTCATCTGTCAGTAGCCGTGCTGTGGTGGCGGCTCACATAGAAGAACTAGAAGGACTTACAATTAGAATATATAACTAAGTACTGGGGCTTTGGGGAGGGAAAAAAGAGAGGAAGATTGGCAACAGTTGTTAGCTCAGGGCAAATCTTTGCCAGCAAAAAAAAGAAGTGCAAATAGAGAATGGGACAACTGAGGACAAAAGGAACTACTCCTTTAAGTAACTAGCATTTAATATTGGGAAAGCTACTGTTTTCTTTCTTGTTGCCTTATGTTTTTGGAAAAGTAAGGGGAATAGTTTTAGCTTAGTCTTGAAAATCAGTTGTATTTAAGTCTATTTTGAGTTACTCTGTTTTTTCTAATCACCTCTTTTTAGCTCTTCAGCAGGAAAAAAATTATATATAAAAATGAGAATTTTTCTGGTACCATCTGTAAATAAGAGAGAATGAAAGAATCCAAAGCTGCAAGTGAAATGATGCCCACACTAAAATGAAATATGTATTTTTGTAACATGGCTATAGAATTTGGCAGTCTTGGTAATGTGCTTTGTGCTTCATTGTCTGTGTAATTTAATTAAAACCAGGTGTTTATTTTATAAAACACTCAATTTATGTTGAAGGGTGGTTCAGAAAGAGTCTCATAATATTTATCATATGTATTTATGTGACTACTCATGCTTCAAATTTTTCCATCCACAGTGAGTGAAACAGCCTTTTAGTCAGTGTAAAAATAGCAATAATACTTCATATTATCTGAAGAAGAGAGTATTATAAAGTATAATTGTCATTTAATCATAGGAGCTCTTCAGGGTGTTCCTCTGTGATTTGGGCATTTTTCTTAATAAAGATAAGGGAAATGAATATATAGTGGCTTATGAAGAGACTTTAGGCTTTAGTGATAGTATGTTTAAAACATATCACATTTTAGAGTTCTTTACGCATTTCAGTGATGAAAATGCACATCGACTTTCTTGCTTCTGAGCCCTGTGAAATAGGGCGGATGATATTACAATTTTATAGGTTAGGGAATTTCAGAGAATCAGTGAAGTGCTTCTTGTTACAGAGATGGAACTTACCATGAAGCTCTTCTAACTTTGAATCTCGGGGGTTTTTATTGTGAGAGACATACAAGAAGAGCCAGTCACTGCTGGTGTTGGCTTTTGCCCTTAAAGAACCATGTAGCTGGGGACGGCCCTGTGGCGTAGTCATTAAGTTTGCGCCCTCTGCTTTGGCACCCTGGGGTTTGGCAGATTTGGATCCTGGGCACAAAGCTACACACCACTCATCAAGCCATGCTGGGCCGCATCCCACATAGAAAACAGAGGAACTTTGACACAGATGTTAGCTCAGGGCCAATGTTCCTCACCAAAAAAAAAAGAACCATGTAGTCTTCTTACAGAGAAACCAGTTGTCACAAAATATTGATATATTCCTTTAAAAAAATCTTCTAGTGATACTCGTGCTTGCGGCTCTACATTCACCTCTTTATCTTTCTCCTTTCCTTTTGCTGGTTGTCTTCTCCCCCTTCCGATCACATGGTTTAGGGAGCCTATAGGTAGGTGAATATAGTTTATTTAGTAAAGCAGTTGACGGATATTAAACTAGTTATAGACCATTTTTATTTGCTAGTTATTTCTTTTAGAAATGGTATACACACATGTATATATTGTATTTCTAAGTAGAAAGTGAACTAATTTATATTCTAAATATTTTCTTTAAAAATGACACAGTTGACGATAAATAGCCTCTCTCTCTCTCTTCAGTAAGCCTCCTCTGAAGTAGACTAAGCACTCTGCTCTAATAATCTTCTAAAATGTCACTAATAATCTGATGGTGCCTTGCAGAGCAGAAGGCACAAAGTATCTGGAATAAAAGAGCTTCTTTAGGATTTGAGCTGAAAATGCAATTTCTTTAAAGTGCCAACGATTTTCTTCCTGTATTTAAACACCCTTCTTATTTTGTTCCCTTTGTATTGTAGGGTAGATGATGTGCCTCCAGGAATATCGCTGCTTCCTGATAATATTCTGCAGGTTCTGAGGATCCAGCTTCTGCAGTGTGTTCAGAAAATGGCAGATGGGTTAGAAGAACAACAACAAGCCTTGTCAATTTTGCTTGTCAAGTTCTTCATTATTCTTTGCAGGTATCTGTTACAAATTAAACTAGTTATCTGTTTTAGAAAATTATTACCAAAACAATAATGCATTTATTGATTATTAATGGTGTTTGTTGTTCTTATGAAGCTTTAAAGAATGAGTGTGCCTTTTGCAATAGGCTTGTGATTTATCATTATATTGGAAAGCCTTTTAGTTACTATATATAGTTATAGAGAGATTCGGCCAAGATAAGGAAAAAAAATTGTTTTAGAGTAAAGACAATGACAGGAGTTTTTTGTTGTTTTTTGTTTTTTTGTTTTTCGGTTATTTCGTTGAGGTCATAATAGTTTATAACATTGTATAATTTGGGGTATACATTATTGTGTATCAATTTCTATATGGACTTCATTGTGCTCACCACCAGTAGTCTAATTTTCGTCTGTCACTACGTATGTACCCCTTTACTCCTTTCACCCACACGCAAGCCCCTTCCCCTCTAGTAACCACTAATCTGTTCTCTTTATCTGTGTATTTGTTTATCTTCCACATGTGAGTGAAATCATTTAATATTTGTCTTTCTCTGTCTGGCTTATTTCGCTTAACATCATACCCTCAAGGACCATCCATGTTGTTGCAAATGGGACGATTTTGTCTTCTATTATGGCTGAGTAGTAGTCCATTATATATACCACATCTTTATCCCGTCATCAGTCAGTGAGCACTTGGGTTGCTTCTATTTCATGGCTATTGTGAATAGTGCTGCAGTGAACATAGGGGTGCATAAGTCTCTTTGAATTGTTGATTTCAAGTTCTTTAGATAAATACCCAGTAGTGGGATAGGTGTGTCATATGGTATTTCTATTTTTAATTTTTTGAGAAATCTCCATACTGTTTTCCATAGTGGCTGCACCAGTTTACAGTCCCACCAGCAGTGTGTGAAGGTTCCCTTTTTTCCACATCCTCTCCAACATTTGTTGTTTTTTGTCTTGGTGATTACAGCCATTCTGACGGTGTAAGGTGATAGCTCATTGTAGTTTTGATTTGCATTTCCCTGATGATTAGTGATGTGGAACATCTTTTCATGTGCCCATTGGCTGTCTGTATGTCTTCTTTGGAAAAATGTCTGTTTATATCCTCTGCCCATTTTTTGATTGGGTTGTTTGGTTTTTTTGTTGTTGACTCGTGTGAATTCTTTATATATTTTTGAGATTAACCGCTTGTTTGATATGTAATTTGCAAATATTTCTCCCATTTGGTGGGTTGTCTTTTCATTCTGTTCCTGGCTTCCTTTGCCTTGCAGAAGCTCTTTAGTCTGATGAAGTCCCAGTTGTTAATTTTTTCTTCAGTTTTGCCTTGCCCAGGTAGACTTGGTATTCAAAAAAATGCTGCTAAGCCCAATGTCAAATAGCGTAGTGCCTATATTTTCTTCTAGGAGTGTATGGTTTCAGGTCTTACATTCAAGTCTTTGATCCATTTTGAGTTAATTTTCATGTAGGGTGCAAGCTATTGGTCTGCTTTCATTCTTTTGCATGTGGCTGTCCAGTTTTCCCAACACTGTTTATTAAGAGACTTTCCTTTCTCCATTGTATGTTCTTAGCTTCTTTGTCAAAGATTAACTGTCCACAGGTGTGTGGTTTTATTTCTGGGCTTTCAATTCTGTTCCTTTGATCTGTGTGTCTGTTTTTGTGCCGGTACCATGCTGTTTTGATTATTATAGCTTTGTAGTATATTTTGAAGGTAGGGATTCTGATGCCTCTGGCTTTGTTCTTTTTTCTCAGGATTGTTTTGGCTGTTCGAGGTCTTTTGTTGCCCCATATGAATTTTAGGATTCTTTGTTCTATTTCCTTGAAGAATGTCATTGGGATTCTGATTGGGATTGCATTGAATCTGTATATTGTTTTAGGTAGTATGGACACTTTAACTATGTTTTTTTTTCCAACACGTGAGTGTAGAATCTTTCCATTTCTTTATGTCTTCTTCAGTTTCTCTCAATGTCTTATAGTTTTCAGTGTATAGGTCTTTCACCTCTTTGGTTAAGTTTATTCCTAGATATTTTATTCTTTTGGTTGTCAGGAGTTTTTACCTAACCAAGAATTTATTGCACTGGTATTTTCTGTATGGTTCTCACCTGTAAACGTATGTACATTTTTACTACTGTGCTTTATCATTTGTGAAATGTATTTTTCTGATCTTTCATTTTATAATTTTACCAAAGAAAGTATAATTATTCTACAGCTTATATTTTCCAAGTTTATAGATGATTACATCTGTGGTACTTAAATTTTGGTGTGCATCAGTATCAACTGGGAAGCTTAATAGAGATACAGAGCTTGAGCCTTACTTACGGAAGTTAAGATTCCAAAGAGCTCATGCATTTTGATTTTTCACAAATTTCACATTTATCTACATAAGAACCATTCGGTTAGGGGCATCGTGTGTCTCGTAAAATCTATCTTCTTTCTGGAAGCCATTCCCATAATACATACTGTTCGTTTTACAAATACTTTTATAATTAATTAGTAGACAAATAGGGACTTAATATACTCATTTACCTTTCACTTACTTTCTCTTTGCATTTGATTGCAGGAATCTTGGAAGGATTGAGCAATAATTGCTAAAACGTTTCTCCACATTTTGGGCTCTCCCAGAACCTTAGTCACATTTCTGATTTTATGCTCTTTCTCAACCTTAAAATTTAGAACAATAATATAAGGATTATAAGAGTTGAAGGAAAAGGGTTTACTGAGGTGGTAAGACATGAGTTTTCCTCTATAATGGTTGATTTGGTAGATTTTCTTCTGTTAACTACCTAGTACAATTTTACTGAAATCAGAAATTATATAGACAAGTAATTGTTTTAAGTCCAATATATTTAGCTCAACAATAGAGGGAAGCACTGGAATGTTCAACACTTTTTTTTAAGTAGGAGATAATCTCTGATGATAAATTTAATGTTCAATAGCTACCAATCACAGAACATGTTTCTATTTCCAGGGACTTTACTTTTTTTTTTTTAAGTTCCTTTTCAAAAATTTTAACACATTTTATGTTTTATGGCAGTTTGGTTTTACGTAAGAATTTTGGAAAAAGTATAGTTCCCACATGTTCCTTCTCGTCCCTCCACATTTCCCCCATTAACATCTTTCGTTAGGGTGGTTCATTTGTTAGAACTGATGAACTAGTGTTGATATGGTAGCTAAAGTCCATAGTGTACAGTAGAGTGCACTGTTTGTGTTGGACAGTTCTTTGGGTTTTGACAAATGCATACTGTCGTGTATCAACCATTACAGCATCCTACAGAATAGCTTCCCCACCCTAAAAATACCCTGTGCTCTATCTGTTCATTTCTCCCACCTCATGCCCCAACCTCTGGCAACCACTGATTTTTTTATTATGTCTATAATTTTGCTTTTTCTAGAATCTCATAGATGTGAAATCGCACAGTATGTACTGTTTTCAGACTGACTTCTTTCACTTGGCAATATACTTTTAAGGTTCTTCCACATCTTTTTGTGGCTTGATAGTGCATTTCTTTTTATCACTGAATAATAATACTCAATTTGTGGGTGTACTACAGTTTGTTTATTCGTTCACCCAATTAAGGACATCTTGGTTACTTCCAGCTTTTGGCAGTTGTCAATATGGCTGCTATAAACATTTGTGTGCAGATTTTTATGTGGGCATAAGTTTTCAACTTATTTGGGTAAACACCTAGGAGCATAATTGCTGGATCATATGGTAAGCCTGTGTCAGAAAGTGCCAAATTGTCTTCCAAAGTTGGCCGTACCATTTTGCATTCCCACCAGTAGTGAATGAGAGTTCCTCACTGGTATCTGGTGAGGTCATTGCTTTAGATTTTAGTCATTCTAATAGATGTGTAGTACTATCTCATTTTAATTTGCAGTTCCATAATGACATATGGTGTTCATTATCCTTTCATATGGTTATTTGCCATTGATATGTTCTTTGGGGAAGTATCTAGATTCTTTGCCATTTGTTAATTGGGTTGTTTTCTTATTGTTGAGTTCAAAGAGATCTTTGAATATTTTGAGATGCAATTCCTGTATCAGTTATGTGTTTTGCAAATATTTTCTTGTAGTTTGTGGCTTGTCTTTTCATTCTCTTACCGTGACTTTTGCAGAGCAGAAGTTTTTAATTTTAGAAGTCCAACTTTTCAATTTTTTTCTTTCATGGAGCACGCTTTTGGTTTTGTATCTAAAAAGCCATCAGCAAACCCAAAGTCAGTTGATTTTTGCCTACATTATCTTCTAGAAGTTTTAGGTTCCATCCCATCCCTTATAATATTGCTGTCATTCGCTTCGCTTATCCATAAGCTATAATCACCCAAAATATTGTTACTATTATTGTTTTGAACAAACTCTTATGTTAGATCTAATTAGAATAAGAAAAATAAAAGATTGCATTTTGCCTTTACCTATTCCTTTCTCTGTGGTTTCTGATGACTCTAAGAAGAGTTACTGATTTTTGGTTTGTTCAGGTTTTCACTTGTAAGGATGGAAATGATGATTCCCAAGCTCTTTACATTGTTGGACTGGAAACTGGAAGTCACATTTATTTTTTATGAAAATCTAAAGTTAAGGGTTTTAAAAAAGAGAGAAATAGTTTTGTAGAAATATAGACAGGGCTGGAGCCATAGTCTATCAAAAGTGACAGTTTTAATGTTTTGCCAGTTCATGGATTACATTGTATCACTATAAACATGTATTTGACATTTTCATGTAATCTGCACCGTATTACTCCCCTCCCTATGCATTTGAGAAGCATAGCTATGAGGAATGCTTAAGTTATATGTAAGGTATTTCCTTGTTAAATATATAAAAATCCTGCCCTTTGAAGTACTCTAATGAAACCAAATAACCTCTGACTAATCAATTTAACTATATTTTTAAATAATTCACATAACATACAATGTACCCATTTAAAGTATATCATTCAATGATTTTTAATAAATTTGAAGAATCATGCAATGATTACTACAGTTAATTTTAGAACATTTTCATCACCACATAAAGAAACCCTGTACTGA